TTAGACATGCATCTCCTTACAGAAGATGATACACTTCATTCTTTGTTCCACCTTTTTCATCTCAAGCCTACAACCATTTTCAAACACAATCACTTCTATGTGTATTGCTTGCCAATTTCAGATAACACACTGACTTCTTTTTTTTTAATTCCACCAAGAATGTTAATCTAGCTTCAAAGGTAAAGGAAACTAGTGCTGGGTGCTTTGTTCTCCCCTTAGTCCTGCCAAATTGTAGTTGCTAAAAAGGACACAAAAGACTTGTAGAAAAAGGTTTTGCTAGGTATTCCAGAAAGATCCATATCTCATTCCAAAATTGAATACTTCTGCCCCACTGCACATATGGCCATTGGTACAGAGGGGAGGGTTGGCAGAACATAGTCTGCAATTTCTTTGCTTAAAGAAAATGCCAGACAGCATTATCAAGAATGCACTCAAAAGAAGAATAGTACAGGTAAAAAGTTACAAATATAAATGTTAAGAATTAAAGTTACTTTATACACAAATTGCATAGCCTCTAGGGAGAAACATTGCAATGCATCATTTGTGAAGGTAAGAACTCTATCTCATGTACAAAAGTATATATACACACTGACTTAAATCCTGCAAACTGGCATTTTTCCATACTATACTTTGCAAGGGAATAGTGTTCATTTAGTCCATTTTTCTTTCTGTCCATACCACCACCTTGCGACTTCCCAAGGGACTTCTGCAACAGTTGGGAGAAGTTCATTTCTGTTTCTCTTTAATTAAAAAGCTAAAAATCCATCCCATTATCAACAACTGCAACACTGAGTTGTCATGCATCATGATTTAGGATTCTAACCATTGCCATGAAGCAGAAATACATATAAATTCCTGCTACAGAAGACTCCTGCTTGATGCTAACATCAGACAGAACATGAGATATACTTAAACTGGATGAATGCCTGGGCCAATCCAGTCTCACATTCAATTTTTGTCACTTGTTTTTTTCCCCCTGCTCCCTTCTTTACCCAGGCAGGAAAGGGAAGAGTCACAGGGACTATGGGCCAGTACCCAAGTATTCAACATTCACATAAAGAGATGGCTCAGTATGCCCACTCCCTCACTGCACCCCCCAGCTGCTCTGTACAGTCAAAGGAAAGGAAAACAGCAATTTCAGATGACTGTATCATCCAACAATAGGCTAACCAAAAAGCTTATCTTTAGACTCAAGGTTTTCTCCTCACCAGATTTCAAAGGCCTGCTGCAAACAATAGCCTTCTCAGAAAAGGTCTGCATTAATTTTGTATAAAGGGAAACATGAAGCAAGCTAACCTAAATACAGAGGTCACTAGCAAATTCTTCTATGATATGACAGAACAAAATGTCCTCTCAAAAGAGAGATTAAAAATACGAACTGCTAACATATGCAACAGGGTGATTGCACCTTTAGGTTTATAGAATCATAGAATCACAAGGTTGGAAAGGACCTGTAAGATCATCCAGTCCAACCATCCTCCCATTACCCTTGCCACCACAAGCACTAAACCACATCCTGCAGCTCCTCATCCAGACGCCTCTTGAACACTGCCAGGGACGGCGACTCCACCACCTGCCTGGGCAGCCATTGCAGTGCCTGACCACTCTCTGAGAGAAAAAGTTCTTCCTTATGTCCAACCTAAACCTCCTCTGGTACAATTTGTGACCATTTCCTTGGGTCCTGTTTGTTGCCTGGGAGAAGAGGCCAAACCCCTCCTCATCACAACCTCCCCTCAGGAAGTTGTACAGTGCAATGAGGTCTCCCTTATAACTCAGTAATATGCAATTATTCCATGAAGAAAAATACTGCTTACATTCATATAAAGTTGTATGCATAAACTACAAGTAACAGCTTGTAAACTGAACTTCAGATCCTTTATATATAAATCACTTTTTTAGAGCATCTCAAAGGCTGAGTTGCATAGCTCACATTTATTACGATTAGAATATTAGTTAATATTCTAAGAAGCTACATCCACTTGCCCAGAAACACACTTTGTTCTTCTATGTAACAAACGTACTCCAAATATCTGCTCTTAATCTTAAAAAGTTTCCAAAAGAATTACATTGAAATAGCAATTTTCAAGAAACTGACCTTCCATTTTTACAAAATCATTAGCTGACTTCATTTATATAAATACAGTGAATCCCCTTCTGTAGCATAACAGCAACCACAACAGACACATCTGAAGAGGCGATGCACCATCTTTTTTATTGGACTACTATGACAAATAAGCCAGGTGTCACGTAATCATCCTTTAGATCATTTGTTTTTGAGCCAATGAATAATTCACTTGAAATCCTCAACGTTTGTTTCCTCCCATTCTAAAAGTAACAAAACTGAGTATAGAGAAGAAAAATAAAGAACGGCCATTTTCAATACTCTGAATGTATCAATCCAAACCTTTACAAGGACTATCTAAAGCTGAGCACTTATTCCGTGAACCATTTGTGCAGTAAGGAACAAAAATACACGCTTTTGTTCAAATCATGCACAGTACGATTACATCTGAACTGACCCTCCTCGTGTTAATTGAAGACAAAGCTTCACTTGAGCTCATTACCACTCTTACAGACAGAAGGGTGAGTTTAAAACATTTAGCTTTTTTCTCCACTGCCAAATCTACGTAGCCTTGTTTTACAAGTACAGATATGCACCTAGGAAACAAACACAGGTTTCACAAGTCCGTCATTACTTTCAGCAAAAAAATAACAAATAGCATGGATGCAAATCAAGGCATGGGGAGAAAAAAAATGGAACAAAAAGACATCCTTGCCAACTTCACAACATTTTTGTAACATTTATTATAGGCTTTAATGAAGAAGAGAAACAGCAGGCAAGTTTTTTTCCTGAATATGTTAATCAAGTTGTCTGAAAAAAATAGAAGTAGTCTTCAGTGATAAAAAGACAGATCATTTTCCCAATTCCCACTAGGGGTTTGATACTGTAGAGTAACTGACATGAAGGGAAGCATGGTTATGACTTAATTGAGACTTAAAGTCCTGTGTTTGAGAAAGCAAAACAGAATTTGTTTTATTCTATTTTATGTACCAGACCACACCAAGTTTGTGAAATGATTTAGAATGCAATACAATAATACAATACAATAATACTTTCCAGTATTAGTGGTCCCTCACTGCAAAACATTGAGGCCCTGGAGCGGGTTCAAAGAAGGACAACAAAGCTGGTAATGAGTCTGGAGCACAGGGCTTATGAGGAGCAGCTGAAGGAGCTGGGAATGTTCAGTCTGGAAAGAGGAGGCTCAGGGGAGACCTCATTGCACTCTACAACTGCCTGAAGGGAGGTTGTAGTGAGCTGGGAGTTGGCCTCTTCTCTCACGTAACTGGTGACAGGACTAGAGGGAATGGCTTCAAGCTGCGCCAGGGGAGATTTAGGCTGCACATTAGGAAATGCTACTTCTCTGAAAGAGTGGTCAGGCACTGGAATGGGCTGCTCAGGGTGGTGCTGGTGGAGTCACTAACCCTGGAGGTGTTCAAGGAATGTTCGAATTTTGTGTTGAGGGATATGGCTTAGTGAGTATTATGATGGGTGGATGGTTGGACTGGATGATCTTGAAGGTCTTTTCCAACCTTGGTGATTCCACGATTCTGTGAAGCTACCTTGAGACTGTAGCAATCCAAATTTGAAAGTGTTTCTAGTGAATTCCTAAAATAATGTGGTCAGTATTGAAGCATTTGAGTGAAAAGATGAGAAGGAAGGGGAAGAGGATCTATAGGAATGTTTGATCTTCCTTCATTTCTACTTCATCTTGCAAAAAAAAAAAAAAAAAAAAATTGTTCCAGGCTGTCATGTCAACAATACTGTAATTTACATAACTAAATAACCAGATTACTAGGAATTGTGCCCAGTTTGGAGTAATAACTATCGCATTCCAAAGTTTGGCAGCAAAAATATACCACAAAATAGCATTTCTGTTCCTCTCCGCCCAAGGAACTGCCAAGTAAAGCCAGTCACCATTCTGGTGCAACCCAGTAGGAATACTGCTATAAATTTAACTAGGAATCCTCCCCTTAAAAAAGAGGCTCTGGTACATTGCATAGTACGGAGAAAAAAAAACTGTTAAACTGTATGAAAATACACGGAAGACATTATCCTAGATTTGGTAAAACTTGACAAATGCCAAGTGTTTTAAATTCCTTTCAAGTTTAACAGAACTCTAGCACCACACAGCAACCAGAAGGACACAGACTCTATATTGTCTTTTCTTGTTTGCTTGTTCTAAAGAAGCACGGCCAGTAAGAAACAAAATAATTACACATTTAATTCCCAAATAGCTTACTTGGTGAATTGATGATATTATCTAACGCTCCAGAACCAACTAAATTATAACAGTCTGTACTACAAATAGAACTTGAACTGAAAGTAATATAGTTAAGGAAAACACAGAAGTTACTTCACAAACGCTAAGAACAGAAGAGATCTCACAGAAGCTTTACAGAAGCAAATTCTTCATCTGCATTTCTACCCTGAGCTATAAAAAGTAGAAATTATTCTTAAAAACAGTAACCAATTTCTCTTACTGCCTCTTAAAAAAAAGATTGGGTGAGCTTGGGGGGGGAAAAAAAAAAAAAAAAAAAAAAAATAATTAAAGTCAGTAAAAGGGCCATATATCAGTTTCTGTGGTATGTAAAAATCCCACTGAAGGAGATTATGAATAAAAAAAGACTATAAATTCAAATGTGAAGGGAAAACAGCACCTTCTTGAAGTACCTCCTCATTTCTTCCAGAAGATGCAGTTCTACAATACACGACTTCCAGCACAGAAGCTAGTTTTTAAACAGCTTTCTATCCCCATCTTCAAAGTGCATTTCAGCACCTTTTCAGGGCTACTGATACAGCTGTTCACCAGCTGTGCAAGGAGTCACCAAAACAATCACTTAGAAATAAATACTTTTAACCTAGATCATTTCAGTGACTCTGTAAAACTGAGGAGGCACAAACATCACAGACAAAAAGCAAATACACTGAGGCTCCTATGTCCTTGGTGCAGCTCTTACAAACAGGCACAGGTTGCAACTGGACCCATAAAATACAAAAAAACCACATGCAGAGAAGGCATATAAAGTACCCTGCCTTCATGCATCCTTAAAATCTGCCTTAAATTAGTACCTTGATTCCTCAGATACCTTGAAGTGAACATACGTAACCAAGTGCACCCTTCACATCCAAGCAAGGAAAGATAACTTACCAAACGCCTGGCAAATTCTTTGTTTTCTGAAAGAAATCCATATCCCGGGTGTACCTTCAAAAACAAAGCAAAGAAGTTTTCAAGCTCACTGACCTCAGAAGCCAGACACCAAGTTTACCACTGCCTTCTAGATACCAGTAAGGTGACATTGAGCACCAAGCATTTCAATTAGTTCAAATGGCTGATTTAGCTGTCTTGAGTCCTACACAAACCCACTGGTTGAGCAGCGTTTTCTGAAACAAATATTCCCTACTTGACTACAGAGAAATATGCCCTTTTCAGAGACACTAACATACTCACTTCAGACTCTCCCTCTTTCTTACTCCTTTTTGCTACATTCACATCTCTGCGGACTTCTATATCAATACTCATACATACTCTTCTCAATAACTCTACAAAGTACTCTTCATTTTAAATACTTTATAGCTTTGATCACAACAGTGGTTCTAAGGTCCACAGCCATAAGCCTCCTACCTCTAGCCACCCTTGCTGGAGGACAGTATTTACTGTATCATTAGTGTGATTCATCCTTAAATGCCTGATTTGTTATTCATACCCAAATATACACCTTGTACTGTGCTGGTGAAGTTCTCTTTTTTGCAACTCACAAGATTCTTGATCCAACATACTCCAACAGATAAAGTTAAGAATATGTTACTACCCTCTTTTAAAGAGAATAAGCAACATACTACTTTCAGAAACTTGAAGGACATAAAGTCGCTTTCTTTACAGGGAAGTTTTGGGGCCCTGAAAGCATCACACCAAAAACATCACACTGAAGGAAATTACAACGCCGCTCCAAACCATTCCGCAGTAATCAGTGTTGCTCAAACACAGCCATCAAATTTCACTTTAAAAATGCTGTTTACAGTAGCTCTGAATAATACATTTGCTTCATTGACATTACAAAGAACATTAGATTTGTTAACATGACCACACATTCGTTTTTCCAACCGATCCCCATAAAGCTTTGAATCTCGGGCCAATTTGGAGGGAGAAAAGCAGAACAGCTTACATGAGTAAATATGGGCTGATGTGCATTCTGTAAACATCCTGAAACACGTAATTACAGAATGCACCTTCTTGCAAATAAGACACACATAATTCAAAAACTGCTTCAAACCATGTTTAAGCAAAAGCCTTCTTTGGACACACTTTGTAAAACGTTCATAAAGCCATTATGGCATCTAAAGGGTTAGTGCTCAAAACTAATTGGGATTTTTTTTTTTCCCCCAGCAAATTTGGAAATGAACTGAAGCTGCTCCCTGGTGTGAAAGCTGAATCCAGCAGCCACCTGCAGGATCAGCGACCAGTGCTGCCAGATGCTACAAAGCCTTTGATTTCCAGTAGCGATTTCGGACACATTTAACATGAACTGGAATCGCATATTCAATCACTCCCCCCCACACACACACGTTAAAAAAAAAATACAAACTCTGGCTTTTCTGCTTTCTATATGTGAAACAGCTGCAGCAGATAGACTCATTCAGACTCACAGCTTGGGCCCTGGTTTTCTTAATGACTTCCATGATGGCATCCATGTTGAGGTAGCTTTTGCTAGTGGGAGCTGGGCCAACACAGACAGCTTCATCCGCCATTTTCACGTGAACCTAAGGAGGGGGGAAATATTCCATATTAACAGATGCTCCCACCAAAAATAATTACCGACATCCTGAAACATGCACACAAATTTTATTGTTTCAAAGATAATTTACATACCATAACCACTCTAAAACATATACCGAAATCACCAACATTGACATACAAGAACTCATGCAATAACATTAAATCTCATTTAACTCCCACCTGAAGTGTCATTGCCAAGATTTCTTATTCCAATGTATTATTTTGAATTTGGTTAAATCAAATCACGGCAAATTAATTTCAGCTTCCTATACTGATAATCTATATGTAAATTCAGACTAAAAACTACTTTGTTACATGTAACCAGGATAGTCTAATATCTTAATAACAAACATTCATGACCAGTTCTAAGCAGGCTCCCCAGGAAGTTGGGGATAATTAGAGTGAATTGAATGAAGGGATGCAGCGAGTGTCCCTGCACAGCATCAGGTCAGCACCATGCACAAATTAAAGCCTATGACTAAAGAGTTCAATATCACTACACGTGAACCAGAAAATCTTGAGAATTATTTAAGCAGGCTCATGTTTGATTCCTGATTCATTGTATCCTAATTTATATGCATTTGTCAAACATTTTTACAGTCAAATCTAAACCATACCAAAAGTAGTGATAAACAGTTTACCAGAAACAATAAAATAGCTGGTTTTGAACAAATCAGAACTCATTCACACACTTTGGGAATGAAAAGAAGTTACAACATTTTTAGATTGCTCTTCAACATGTTTTACTATATTTTCCTCATAAATTAAGACACACAAAGACCCACCAAAAAAAAATCAGTTTCTCATTTTGTTTTCCTTTTATAAGCTCTCGTCCAGTTTGTGTTTAAAGGAAACGTGCCACTGTTTAACCTGTATAAGATTTATATAGCTATAGGTTAGTAAGACTTGGCACTGTACAGTTTGGCATTTCAATGCTTATCAATTTTAAAACTGTTATTTTATGAATATTTTCTATCATCTTCAGTGCACTAGAATATATAGAAAATGATGTTGTTTCATGAAGTGAATCTTAACATATATGACATTCAAAATTTTTTTCTTTACTAACAGCAGTTTTATTCACAAGTAGCAAAAAGATTGTCAGTGTAATATATTAAGGTTGGAAGTATTGCAGTCCCTACACACTACTCATTCATTCAGAAAAAAGTCAAAGCCAGAAAAAAAAAGTACCTAGAAACTGCCTTGCAGTAGTCAAGCAATTTTGAATAGCAAAAATGAGAAATAAGTGTTCAGGTAATGTGTAAGAAAAACAACATCTATTAAGTCACCTGTGAACATTCAGCATTAGTCTTTGTTTTTATAGAGCTTTTCTGTACTTTGCAGAAAGTTACCCCAACATCAGAAAGAAATACTAACTTGCCACCAAATTCCTAGCACTCTCCTGGGAGTAGCTCTTAAATAGATATGCAAATATGCAGCCAATTCAGCAGCTCCAAGTGCACAAAACCACCTGGAATCTCCACATATTTCACATTTTAGTTATTATAGCTTTTTTGTAGAGTTAATGGTTTCATTTTCTTAGTATAGCATTCACTTCACATTATAAACAAAGCAGAACCAAAAACCCTACCCACTAGCACAGACAATCATGTGGCAGGATTTTAATGCTTTATAATAAAACACCTCGACAAATTAAGTTAATTTAACATTTGATTAAATGATAGCAGAATTAACCCTATCTGCTACCCTTCCTGGAGTATTAAGTACAACAAACAGCATTGCCCTTGGATACCTTTGATTGATTCAAGTTTTTTAGTTATTCAGTATGTTTTAGACAAGCATACTTAAGCATGGGTGTTTTACAGGACCAAAAGCTTCCTTACTAAGGGTCTAAACTATGACAATTAGCTATTTTTAAACATACAGAGAAGCCCCCACCCTCCCCCCCACCCCCAACAGTCCTATAGCACCAGAAGTCCATAGAAGATACTGTAAAAACCACTGATTTACAACAGTTAAGAACAGCTGTGTGTGCTTTCCCTCCACCATTTTCTTCCCTTCTTCAACTGTTTTGCTACTTCTCCCCATGCTTCTCTTCTTCTGGAGTCTATTTCTCCTTATCTACATTACTACAAGATTTTAGCATCTTCTCTAGTTCACTGTTGAATTATCCTTGCAGGTACCCTAACAACCACACGAACGTAATAAAACTGTAGCCATATTACAACCACTTCATCTTCTCCAGCATTACAAGTTTGAAATCATTCATTTTCGAACAAGTCACACAATCCTATGTATTCAGAACTTGTACCCAGCTTATGACAGCTAACAATTTAGAAGAAAAATTTTTCACTTTTCTGTTTTAGTTTAGAAAAATAATATTAACAAGACAGAGAAGTCAGTTCCAGGAGGTTTATGAAGAAACAATTCCTTCATAAATATTAGAACCAGCCATGCAATCTCAAGCATGATGGATGGATACCAACAAATGGTGGAAAAGCACACAAGCCTAAAAGTACCAAACGTTTTTACTGTATTTTTTTTTTTTTTTATATTGGGCTACCTGTGCCTCAAAAGATATGTTTCAAACAACTACAAGGACCTGTTACATTACTCAACACAAATTTGCTAAAAGCATGACTTAGTCATGTAGAGAGTAGTTTAATTGCTGTAGAAGTTTTAGATTTGAAATATTAAATAAGGACTAATTACACTGTAATAATTACACAAAGACGACAAAAGGTTTACCAAAACCTATTGACTCGTGATTAGTTACATCTTTAAATCTAAATCCTAACCTGTAACGAGCACCTAACCACCCCACTGAAGCCTCTCAACTCTTCTATGACTAATGTGCCTCAATAGTCTCTATTTAACAAGGAATCCAAGAGTACTCATTAGAAAGAATACTCTTCAGTAGCACAACTACTTTTAAACAAAGGTTCACCAATATGACAAAAATACAACAACTGGCCAGTTTGAAATGCAGCAGTGATTTTAGTGCACAATTCATGACCACACAGCAAAACAAGAACACAAGTTCAACAATCCTCTTCAATAAGCTACACCAAAACAGCCACTTATTTCCTGAGCAAGTTCAGGTAAGGCACCTAAACTACTAATCCTACTGTTTCTTTGCGTCTCTAGGAAATAGGTACCTAAATAGTCTGTCAGGGTGATTATCCAGCCATTTTAATCCATCCAGGATTTCCCAAGCACTGTTCCAGGCAGCATCAGCTCTCAAGGTGTCAATTACAATGGAGTGCCAACAGCAACCACCGGTAGACTCTGGCTATTTTGTTTCAGTGTAACAACAGCAAGATTGATAAACCAGAAACAGTATGCGGGTTTTGGTATCATATCATACCCCACAACCCAAAACATTGGATATAAACACCAAAGTACCAACACTTTGCAGGAGATTACCCAATTAAGAAGGACTGTACTAAACTAGAGCTAGTCAGTATCTGAATTACTGAAACTGTTGGCACTCCTTTACTTCTGGAGGATGGCACATGTATGCATTTGACAGTAGCACATTCTTTTGCCCTGGTGTACTTTGAAAAGTAGTGAAGCACCCTTCCCATGAAATCTGTATCTCAAATAGTCATTTAGAGAGGAAAAATAGTTTAGTAGCTAAAATACACATAGCACTCCTGGAGATGTTGTTTAATGCAGTACAATTAAAGTAATCTTTGCCAACAGTCATCCAGTTGCTTCAGATTGTTAGCTAAAACTTATACTACATGCAAGTACACATGCTCCCAGCCTTTACAACAATAAAAGGTATTTTGTTATGGAAATAGAAATATGTACATATGAACAACACAACACTAAGGCAAAGCACTGAAAAAAAAAATGAAAGATACTAGGAAAATTTACAGATTCTTAGCATTGTAACTATTCAGGAACTCCAGAGTTTGTTACTTTCTTAAGGATATGATTCATGAAGCAAGTTCTCTGTACCCATCTCACCAGCTTGCTTTATAATCATGTCGTCTACTAATTGCAAGAAACAAAGCTGATTTTCACATGAGCCAGTAGAAGAGCAAAGATATCCACACGTGTTTCCTAACAAAGTGCTTGATACCGCCTGCGCAGTTTTCACAGATATTTTATACACTTCGTCAGTTTGATATTTACTGTGTGACAGATGCCATTTACTCCAGTGTAAATGCCTAATTAACACGTACACACAGATGCACACACACACTCTCCCTCCTTCATTACTAAGACTGTCCGGGACTTCATGATAGCCCAGTTTTTCACGATAGGTCACCCTATGCAACCCCAGGCCTCGACACAAGTTGATAATTCATACAGCAGAGAGTTTTATTAAGTTACAAGATGCATTTTCCCCAATTCTTCTGCACTTTTCCACAGTAAATAGACAGGAAATTGTTATACACACATATATACAATGCTAACCAAATCTAAGAAGCAATTAAAGAAAAAAGAATTAATGTTTGCTACATTAGTTAAGACCGCATTGTTTAGGCAAATAAATCTAATCAAACAATCCTTTTAAAGCTCAAATCAATATCACACGTTGCAACAATTCCAGTTGGTATAAATAAACTCAATTGACCCAAATTGCATAACACCACTGAGCAAGACAAACCACAATTAGCTCAACCCATAAGATAGGGCTAATGAGTAAATCCTTTGTATGGGTAGCAAAAAATAAAATGAATAAATGCAATAATCTCAAATCTTGCCAATCCTAATACCAAAAGAGACAAAAAAATAAGAACCTTGTGGCACTGAATAGTTAAAAACCAAAAAGAAGCAAAGAAAGGTTCCAATTCACTGCTCTGTCAAAAATATACAGCTTTTAGACCTGTCTTTAACAGCTTCACACAAAAGCAAACGTCAAGAATACAACAAATCTGTGCACACAGCAAGAATGTCGTACTCACAGTCCTCCAAGTGCTATTGCAAAGAAATACTGCCACACAATTATGGCATTTAACCCTAAAATGAAATAATGAAAACATTTCTAATTGCATGAAGAGCAGAACTG